AGGGAGGCACAACCAATTACAAGATTTATGAGGCAATTCGTTTATCACATGGAGCCAGGTAGACTTGAGCTTTTTTTCTCTTAGTAAATGAAATCATTTTTTAAAACGTGCATTTCGTATTTACTCTTATTATCTTTGGCTAATGTTAAAATTTCTTTAATGATACGAAACATGGAAGTGTGAAAAGGAGGCACATATTTTTCCATAGCACTGTATCAGAGTTTTTCTTTGCTGTTGACCTGCACGCACAGCCAATTTAGAATGAGCAATACCTTAGCTTGTTTCTGTTTAAGGACAAATCCAGAGCACATGGAAAAACCCTCATGACACAGACACAACAGTAAGATTGAAACTAAGAATTGTAAGAATTGAGTTACATAATGGGTCAAATACTTTTAACCCACATAAATACTTTTCACTTTCATGGCGACTTACATAAACGATGAACTCTCAGTAACACCTGACATTAGTATTATCAGACATTATCATTGGCATTTATTGCAGTAAAAGCCTTGAAACATTGTTTCTGTGCCACTGATGAACTCTCCTGTTTTGCTTCATGCTTCTGTGCTAAAGAATAGATGACCTGAGATAATGTTAGGAAAATATAATTGGATCGAAGTGACAGCAAACCGTCTCTATAGTGAGGGACAAGTTAAGCTATGTTCTCTCTGGTAAATTTCATTGCATCCAACCGATAGCAGCAGCCTAACATGTCATTCACATAATACTAATGACAACTTTGCTTAACCATGCTCAGAGTGAACTGTACCTGGCTGTTTGCAATATGACTGGAACAAATTTGGGTTCAAAACAAAAAACAAAAAGGTCGCAGTTCAGCTGAACTCAATTTGAATTGAAATTTTACAAGCCGGCAAATCATAAGCTGAACAGCTGCTTTAATGCCGAGGATGGTTTTAAATCAAAAATCAGGGGCACAGATCCACACACAATACACATATGAAATTCAATACACAATATCCCTTCTAACTGTTATAGGATTGAAAAGGAACGCCGCCACTAACCATAATATAATAGCAACAGAGATTGGTCAGTGTGCGGTTATCATGCTGTCATCCAGCCAGTCTCTTCAGCGTATCCTTGTCATGGTTGCTGGGGGGCTGAAGCCTGTCCCACAGGACGAGAGGCAGGGTGTAGCCTGGACTAACACATAGAGACCAGTGTTGGTCAAGTTACTTGAAAAAAGTAATCAGTAACTAATTACTGATTACTTCCCCCAAAAAGTAATCCCGTTACTTTACTGATTACTTGTTTTCAAAAGTAATTAATTACTTAGTTACTTAGTTACTTTTTTAAAACACGCTTTACAACCTGAATAGGTGATAAAGTGATAGATCTCAAAGTGATAGAGCCCAATTCTACTTTTTCTACATAATCATCATACAAAATGTAATCAAATGGAAAAGTCTCTTTTTAAAACTTGTTTTATTAGTTTTAATCTTTTAACTTTATGCATC